ACTTTTATTTGTAACTAACGTTACTGCAACAGTTTAAAACTGCAGTAATTTTAGTTACAAATGAAAGTGGTAAAAAACATAGAAAGTTTCATTTCTCTTTTCTTCATGATTATTATAGAAACCTCAACAACGCTGGAGGCGATCGTTTTCGAGATATTTCTATATCGATGCATATTACTTAGCTCCTAGGATCGAGAACATTACAAAAACTAAGTATGTGGTGGATCTCCTTGAAATTAACAACTTTTATGTTCATGTTTATTTATGTGCTTGTTTATCTATTATCGTTCAATACGTTTTTGAAATAAACTTTACCATTATTATTATTACTATCATAAATTCTATCACTATTGGAAACCTTTGTTTGAAGGTGGTTGACAATGTTTCATTGAAATTCACTATTGAAAACAACCCTTAACATTCAAAAAGAGACAACAACTAGAATTCAAGTAGGGTCAACCGGGGTTAATGTGATATACTCAAAAACTTGGGGCTATTATGATATATGTGAAAAAATATAACTAAATTATGAGTAATAAACAAACAAAGAAAAATTCAAAAGGGATACATAGTATATTATTATGTCAAAAATACAGAGGGTTCAAATTAAATATTTAGTCACATTGAAAATTTAAATGCAAAGGTATGAATTTTTTGGGTGAAGAACTTCTCTGCGGCAACTCAAAACTTTCATCACTACATGTTTATTATTCAACTTCAGTTAACTCTGCATCAGTATTGGGTTGAGAAAGATTCAATTAATATGTTTCTGATCAAAGCTATTACATTTTAAAGTTGGGGGCTGATATAATACAGCCAAAGGGGCTATTGTGATACTCATCTTGATATTGAAACTGCCAAATATGCCAAGGAAAATCAAGTTGTGATAAATAAACTACCATCACACACTACAGATATCTTACATCCTCTTGACGAAACATGTTTTAAAACGCTGAAGTATAACTGAGATCTATCAATTTTTCAGTGGTTCAGGCAAAATCAGAGAAAATTAGAAAAAGAAGAGTTTGTGATAAAATGGTATGATGATTTGTCAT